GGCGGCCGAAGCCTACTCTTATGTCCACATACATGATCCATCCTATAGCTTATAAATCTATCTACCAAGTGCATGCTGTTTTTACATGATCTTCAAAGGATACGTTGCTAAAAGTAGTTATACTCTGAGCTTTATTTTCAGAATTCCCCCCCCCCCCCCAGAAATATAATAGTTGAAACTTAAAACCCACAAATAGTTTGTTGCCTTTTTGTTTACAAACTGTTTTTCCTGAATTCCAGGATCTGATCATCTTCCCTGATGACATTGAATTCAAGCATGTGAGTCAATGTACGACAGGGCGAGTGTATGTGCTCAAGTTCAAGTCGTCCTCTCGCAAGTTTTTTTTCTGGCTGCAGGTGAGTTTTTTTCAGCATTTTGGTTGGTCCGTAAAAGGGTAACATTCTTTCTCTCCCTTTGGACCAGTTATGCTAGTAGACTTTTAATTCCTCATCTCTGCTCCTCTTTTGCACGAGGGTGCAAAAATTGTGCTGGGTCTTTTCTTTGAACTAGAAATGCCTTGGTGTCTTTTAGATTTAAAGCCTCTCCTTATTAAGCAAGCCCTGTGAGAATCAGCAAAGAAGACCCCCACTGCAACTTGTGTTACCTATTCATCAGTTCTCTGCAAGATTGCAGAATGGTGACTGCAAACATTTTTGAGAGCTTTTAAAAAAACATGAACGCTTTCAAAGAGCTGGATTGGGGGGGGGGGGGGGGGGGGGCAATTCTGCTTTAGCTTTTTACAGCCAAGAAAAGTACATTGCAGACAAGTCTGGTATGCAGGCGAAATCAATGGGGAAAATGGTCAGAGGTCAGTGAATTAATGTCACTATGATGTGTACCCCACAACATAATTTTTAGGGAGTTGATGCCTCTAGTCCCATGTGATCCTTCACTGAAACTTTTGAGTCTCGTTGAATGTTTCATGTTTTCTTAAAAGTGAAACAAGAACCTGATAAATAGAAAGGCTCTCTTGAATTTGGTTTGAAATTCTGTATGCAGGAACCCAAAACAGACAAAGATGAGGAGAACTGTAAGAAAGTGAATGACTTCCTGAACAACCCTCCCACCCCTGGGTCATCCCGTGGGGGCGGCGGCGGTGGAGGTCTTCCTTCCGACCTCTCCAACTTGGGTGAGTTATTATGGAGTCTTGTATGAGAAGTCCTTTATAAACCATGTCCGTAAAACCTCTACTAAAAAAAAAAACCATGTCAGTTTTGTTGCTTGAATAATGTGACCATGGCTTGTGAAATTAGTGTTGTTGGTGGTTGGAGGGAGACATTAGTCGGTCCTCTTCCTCCTTCCTCCCCCCCCCCCCCCCCCCTTTCTGGATTTGCTTTTTGTTCTCTCTTAATGACAGTTCTTTTGTCGATCTGAGCTTTCTTGACCGAAACAACCAAGAAACAAGTGTTTGGATAGAGGTTGGGTCCTGAAAAGTTGTTCTTTTGTTTTGTCCGTTTCTCAGTCTTGTCTTCATTGTCATTTTAGGCACATTGGCTGTGTTCCTTTACTACTTCTATTTATTTAAAACTTTTCCGTCTTTGTGTGTGTGTTTGTTACTCTTTTTTAACTCACTGACCACTGGGGCCCTTTCACCAGTCACTTGTGCTGAATACTGGCGATTTGGGGAGTATCTCAAAACCCCACCACAACTCTCAGAATTACCCTATTGTAATCATTTTTCGACTCTGTAAAGTTACATTCAAGCTTTTCTAATACAAGAAGCTAAAGTTGTGTAAGTCTACCGTAGTCAGTGAGTTAATACCGCTTATCTTCAACACTTATATGACGAGATTGTTTTGCAAATGTCATAAAACTCTTACTAAAACAATAAATTTTAAAACTGTATTCCAACATCAGTGGTATGAAGTGCTCAAAGTTAAATTATAATTCTTATTTATTTCAGGTGAGCAGGACCTGCAGCAACTCCTAGGAGGAATGAGCCAGCAACAGCTCATGCAGCTTCTTGGTGAGTTCTGATTCCCATGCTTGCTTTGTCTGTGGGGGGTGGGTGGTTGGAGGGTGCTCTGGTGTGGCAACATCTCAAAACTTCAGCACTTACATGACCTATTTGTTTTGCCAGTGCCAGAAAACTCTTGACTAAAAACTAAACGGTCTCTTGGGCAATGGGCCGTTACTTTTTGTTCAATCACATTCATTGTACATATTGTTATCCTTGTAGATTTGGACACTCTTGTTTTTTAGGGATGTGTGATATGGAGGTGTATCTTCAGCATTTTCCACAGTCCCTGAAATTAATTTCTTGGGGTTCCTAGATATTGTGGCTTCTGAATTAAAGACATCAAAGGACATCACTCAGTGTAGTTTTGTTCTGTTTTGGTATTTCCTTCCTAGTTTTTAAATTTAGAAATACCGATTCCTCAAGTCCATGTTCTGGTTTTGGGTTTAGTATATTTCTTTAATTTTCTCAAAACTTGAAAGAAACAGCTTATGTGCTTGTGGAATGGTACCGACGATACCCGTCATAACCATAACAGTTAGGATTTTTTTTTTTGCTGCTCTTTGTGCTCAGCTGCCAAGCGGTAGATAAAAAATGTTGTTTAGTACATTTTTTGAGGGTTTGAGTACCTAAGTATATTTGTTTTTTTGTCAGGAAAAAACATATTCTGAATTTTGTATTGCTCCTCACAGACTTGCTGATGCTGAAAAAAAAATCTTTAACTTTCAAAACAGGGTTTGGGAATAATAGTGAGAACAAAGCTCATTAGTCATTTGAAGAGGCCTTTAATAGGCATTTCTGACATTTTGGTTGCATGTCTGTTTGGAATAGTCTTTTATTGCATGCAGAAAAATGTGTGAAAAGGGTTTAGAGGTGGCTTGCTAGTAATTATTCCCAGGTTTGCCTTCTGTCAATTGTGCGATGAGAAAATTAATTGCTCATACTTGTCCAGTGCCCACCATCATGGCCTGCTACATACTGAGAGTCTGTTTTATGGTTTTGAAGAGTAAGCAGGTGTGTGAATATGATTGACTATGTGTACACCTCTGTTTTGGGTTTTTTAAAAAGTTAACCGTGTCATCATGTAACAAGGTTTGTACTTCTACCCGCAGGTGGCATTGGCATGAGTGGTGGTGCTGGCAGCCCTGGGGTGCTGGGCTCTCTGATGGGGCGACCCAGCAGCGCTCAGTCCACCGTATCAGAACCGTAAGTGTGAAAACTGTGGACTACTTTGACACAATTCAGATGATGAGGTAGAATAAGATACAAGTAATTTTGTTTTTAAATTAAAACTTGATGAAGCCTTTTGTTTTGACACGTTAGTACTGGTGTATGGATGTAAGAATGGTGCCACTGGTTGTTTTTACTTTTTCGCCCTTTCTCTATTTTACGACTATTCAACGCACTTTTTGCGGGTGCTGTGGTGTGTTTTGCTCCTTCTTTTCAATCAGACATCTCATCCTTATCTCTCCTCCTTTTGCTTGTATATTACAAATCAAATCTTCGGCCCCTATGACCTTATTGTGTTGCAAATGCTGTACAGTGAGTGGTTAGTGGGTGCTCTGGTGTGGTTTGCTTCTTCTTTCCTATCAAACGTCTATCGTCCTTATCTCCCCTTCTTCTTTTTTATGTTTGTTACTCCCTTGTAACACCTCTAATCTTCTGGCTCTCCTATGACCTTATGCAGTTGCGAGCACTGTAACACCTCTACTAAAACTAAAAATTAACTCTCTTGTAGCACCTCTAGTCTCGTGGCACTCTTATGACAGTAAGTGGTTGCAAGCGCCGTAAAACTTCTACTAAATCTACACTAACTAGATACTGTAAAACTCTTGTTACTAAACCTGAGGTCCTCCCGTTTGATTCTCACGCTGACATTCTTTTCTTGCCAGCCCTCTGAGGACACAGTCGTCGTCTGGCACCAGAGCCTCCTCAGGAGAAACTACGCCGTCCCAGCCCCGGCCAGTGACTGCCGCCGCTCTCCCGTCACAGCCTGCTGCTGCTGATGCTCCCAGCACCGGTACTGCTGCTACAGCCTCCACTGCTGCTGCCGGATCTTCGGCTGGAGCCTCGGCCGGGGCTGGGAGCTCAGCTCAGATACAGTTGAGCGACTTGCAGAACATCCTGTCTACCATGAGTAAGGCTTTTGTGTGGGGGTTTTCTGCTGGGGTTTTTTACAGACACACACACACATATGTGTTGGGAGAAGAGTTCTCCAAACTACGCACAGCTCGCCTTCACACTTTTAATTGTCCATTTCTCCATGGACTCAATCTTGATGTAGTGTCTGTGGCCTGGTGATTAGGCTCTCAAACTTGCAATCACATGGTCCTGTTCGAGTAATGTCAAGGGCTCGACGTTGAGTCTGTGGAAACAGCATTTCACACAAGTTTTCCTCACTTCACTTGGGTGGGAATGGGTACATGGCTATCTCGTCTGTTTGTTAGTGTTTGAATGCTTAATCAACTGTTTGCACTGTACGCTTTCTGGGACGCCGAGAATGTTACCGAGTATTCTTGGGTGTGCTGGGGTAATAATATTTTGCAAAGCTCATAGTTTTCTGTCGAGCAGGGATATGCACAGTACAAATGGTATTTATTGTTAATATTTCTTTTGGCACTGTTGGTCAAGTTTCCAGAGGTGTCAATAATTCCTTCTTGTCAGTGTCCTGATTTGCCTTCCTTTTGTTGTTTTTCTCCCACTTTTGTTTTCCCAGAAGAATGTCTTGTAGTTATGTGAATGACATTCATCATTGCCTAACACTTTAAGTAACTTTTTTTCTGGAATCTACTGAATTACAAATTTTGTGAAAATGGTAGAGCCGTGAAGCCAGCAGGTGGGCTTAGCGCTTCAGTAAGTAGACTTGTTGTCTCAAATAATGACTTACATATTTAGAAAATGTTCAAAGTGAAGTGGTATTTAAATGTTATTTCAGCCTAACAGGGAATGATACTGAATTCTTTTTTCTGTTTGTGTGTCATAAAACTTTGTTCTTCTGTGTACAAATCCTTTTTCTCTTCTTTGTTTTTTACAGTACCTGCGGATGGTGCGGCAAAAGAAGGTACGTGAACTTGGAAAGGAATGGAGTTTGAATTGGGTTGAGTGAAGGATATTTCTTCTAGAAAAATCTCACACTCAAAATTAAGAGGATAAAAACTTTCGCTAAGGGGGTGATTTGGATTATAAGGAAAACAACTAACACTTGCTCCTCACTTTTGTGTTGTCTGTCTAGTGTGCTTTCAAGGTTTACGTCAAAAAATATATAAACCTAGAGGCATAGATGTGTCTCCCTTATAAATTACTATGATTTTGTTTGTGTATCACCAGGACTAATAATTTGCAAAATTAATGTAATGTGATTGTTTCATAAGCTTCTGTGCTTAGAATCGACAGCAGAACATGTGACCTTCTCTGACGTTAATGCAGGCATGACATTATCTTTGCTTAGAACTTGTGGGTGGTTGCAGGCACTCTGCTGTGGTTTACTCCTTTTTTTCTATTAAACATCTCGCTCATCTTTCCTTTTTTTTAACTTTAAAAAAAATGGGTTCCCCTCTATTAACACCTTTAAACTTTTGCACTTGTATTACCTAATTGTGTTGCAAGTGCTGTCAAACTCTTACTGAAACAAACAAAAAACAAACATAACTTTGTGGGTGGTAGGCGGGTGCTCTGGTGTAGTTTGCTCCTTCTTTTCTATCAAACATCTATCGTCCTTATTGCTCCTCCTTATTTTTTTGTGCTTATTACTCTCTTGTGACGCCTCTAATTTTCTGCACTTATATGATCTTATTGTGTTGCACGTGCCGTAAAACGTTACTAAAACAAATATACCTAACTTTCCTTCAGGTGTTGATCTGGCCAAGGCACTGAGCCCCGAGGCCATGGTCCCCATCTTGGCCAACCCCCAGGTGCAAGAGCGGCTGATTCCCTACCTGCCTGAGGGCGAGTCTCTGCCCAAGACAGAGGAGGAGCTGCGCAATACGATTCAGTCGCCCCAGTTCCAGCAGGTGGGGCTGAGAACATATTTGTCTTTCTGTCTGCCCCCCCCCCCCCCCCCCCCCCCCCTCTCTGTCTCTCTCTCTCTCTATCTCTCTCTCTGTTAAATGGTCTCACATTGTACATTTTGTCTCTTGAGATGCCAGTTGATGACTCTGCATTGTACAGGTCTTAAGAGTCTTTTGAGGGATTAAATGTTTAAATTCACCTTATATAAATTATTATTTATGTATGCCTTTTACAGTTTGAAATATCAAAGTGACTGCTTTGTGTAAGTCTCCACCATATGCCATTTTGAAAAATTATGTTTGACGAAGTCGTACTCTGAGCCGTCGAAATATCTCCAGTTGTCGCCAAGTTTGTAGTTTCATCTTCTTATAGTGAAACACATTTTTCATTTTAGTGGTCTGGATGTTTTTAGAAAGTTGGGGGGGGGGGTCAGGAGGAGCTGTATTGTGTATATAATTAATTATAAGGGTATGTGGTCTATTTATTGAGACTGTCTTTGTTATCGTTTCATTATGGGTGGTTGGCAGGTTTGCTTTCTTTTCTGTTAAGCATCCATCGTCTTTATCTCCCTTTCTTCTTTTTTGTTTATTAATCTCTTGTAACATTTCTAATCTTTAGAACTTAAATGACTTTAATGTGTTGTAAGTGCCATAAAATTCTTACTAAAACTTTTTTTTTCATGTGTGCAGGCTTTGAGTTCATTCAGTTCAGCCCTGCAGTCTGGACAGCTGGGGCCTCTCATGTCACAGTTCGGTCTTGGCGAGGATGTGGCTAATGCGGCAGCTCAGGGGGGTAAGTTCTTATGGACTTTCAGGAACAATATTTTAGTTGCCCGATCTTCTCAACAGATTACATATCTAGGCATTGCAAGACAACAAAATTGCCCTTTGGTAAATTTCTTCCCGGTATCCCTGATTTGTTCAAAGTCAGCGTTTTAATCTCTTTGAAATTATGCATGCTTGTTGTAAATGATTAATGTTTCTCTTAATTTTAAAAAGCTTGCAAATCTAGGTCAAAAAGTTTTTAAAATGATTTTGGTGTCTACATTTTGCAAGAGCACGCATTTGTCCGTAATACTAGACCCGTCAACTGTTAGTCGACTGCTTGCAATACAAGCAGTAAACTATTACAAACAAAAATGGTACAAATTTGTGGTTAGACCTCTGCTCAGAAGAATTAGGGCCAGATGATTAGTGTGACATACATGTAACTCCTTCGGGCAACCAGGATCAGCAAATGTTTGCCTACTTCCATGACATCCATGGTATGGTACAAAGTAATTAGATAAAATGGTTTTCCTTTCTGCAACTGCCGGAATCGATCGTGGGTGGGTACACAGTGTAAAAACCATAAGAAAAATTAAAAACTGACAGGGGCTTAGGTTCAACGTTTTTCATGTACGGGCTTACCGATGCAGTGTCGGTTTCGGCAGTCGGTGAATTAATGACATGAAAATTTGCATGTGGGGGCCAGAGGTGAAAAGCTGTCTACTTTAACCAAAAGTTAATTTCTGAACGATGAAAAAGTTTTCAAGTCCTTGTAGAAGATTCAGTTCATATCTAGTATTTAGAAAAGATGAAAATCTGTAATGATATAGTGACAATCATTAACCCTGTCCGTACACCGTGTTTTACTATCGTATCCATACGACGTGGGGAACTGTGTGCCACCACTTTCCAAAGAGGAAATTTACTCCTTAATCCGATCCGTACCCTTTTCATACCAGTCTGTCAAAATGTTTTTTTGAGAAATGCTATAAGTTTCAAAGAGATCTTCGTACTAGAAGTATTCTAAAATGGGGTGAATACAATGCAAAATGACCTCAGTGCGTACGGATAGGGTTAAAAGTGTCTCACCTTTTTTTTTTTTTTTTTTTTTTTTTTTGATTTTTTACGGCAATTTTTCCATTTCAGATATGGAGGCATTTGTGAAGGCGATGCAGGAGGCTACGAAGAAAAAGGATGGCAGTGGGGAAGACTCCATGGAGCATTAGCCTCGTCCTGGCTCGGCGAACAGCCAGTCAAGTAGCAGAAGCCCTGAAGAGGATCTGCACCAGCAGTTTTTTATTGATCAGATTATGCAGTTGCTTCGTACTAATCGTTTGCGTTTGTCCGATTTGAATGTTCCAGAAGGCGTGTCATCCATAGGTCAGAGCAGAACAGGAGAGAGACATACAGGGAGGGTTGGTCGGTCTGAGTTTGCCAAGTTTAAGCCAAGGCTGCCCACTGCTGTTGAAGTGGAGGAGAATGTGGACACTGCTGCTGGCGTTGGCGAGTCCTCGTGGGACCTTTCTTGGTTTGACTCGGCCGAGCTCTCGGCTTCTTTAGAAGATTGCTTGGAGATTCCAGCCCCAGATGCATTTGAATATTCTGAAGGGCAGTCTGAAGTGGAAAGGTCAACAGAGAATTGTAACGATATGGTGTCTCACCCATCTGCTCCAGCAAGTTTAGCAACGCCTGTCCTATCGAAAGCTGAACCTCTCATAGACTCGCTCAATTATAGCCAGCCCTCAGAAGTTGAGTTTCCACAATCGGTGATTGAGGAAGCACCTGCTACTAACGTGGAAAGGGAAAAAAGCGACACTAGTAAGCAATTTCTTGGTATTGATTTTAAGAAGGCCAGTCTGACTTGCAGTGATGAAATGATGGTCCCTCAGGCACAGGACAAGAGGGTTGTGAACGAGGACAGACAAAGTTTGAAGGATTTTGATCCGGTGAGAGATGAATGTGATAATCAGTTAGAACCACCGGCAAACGTTGAAATTGAATTTGAAAAGAGCTCTGCAAGTACCAGAATTACTCATTTGGATGTTCCCGAGGAGTTGATGTGTTCTGAAAATTTAGTGGCTGTAAAGGATTTGAGGTCTGTCAGAGGAGGGACTTTGCCGGAAATTAGTGAGGATGATGTGTCTAATGAGGTTCCAACTATCAAGACTGGTGTGGACTTTGAGCATTGGGGTAGGGATTCCGAGTTCTCATCTGTCATTGAAAACAAAGTGGGAGAAGGAGACAGTGAGGAGGATCTAGAAAATTATTTTGAAGCGCATGTAAATGCTGAGAGGCCAGCTGGACATAAAGACAGTGGGTACGAAAAAGGTGGTGAGATGGTAGGTTTAGTGGGTGGGACCGTAGAAGAAGTAATGGAAAGTGGTTTGAGTGGAATCGGAGAAGATGAGGTGAAAGAGAAAGAGACTGGTGAAGAGAGTCCCACCAAGTCGGTTGCTGTAGCAGAGGATGAGGTAGAGGTATTTGTTCTTGCCGAGGACAATAAGGACTCTGTTTGTTTTGAGGAGTCCCTACATGGCACCGGCTGGGATACAGCGCAGAGTTCTGCTGGTCACCAAGTCTCTTCTGAGAGAGAAGACCAAGAATGTCCAGTTGAAAGTGGCCGGGATCTGAGGCCCCCTTTTGAAAATCAGATTGGACTTTCTCAAGCCACGAGCTGTGGAGATCCAGAACAAAGTAGTCTCGACAGTGGGATTGATGTGAAAGTAGCATTGAATGTTGAGGCTCCTTCTTCCCAGGAATCGAATGATGTGGATGTGAATATACGTGTCTGTGTGGAAGCCCCTGCAGATGAGCATCAGGAACACTGCTTTGGTATGCTGAAGATCGAGACTGGGTTGTCTGACCATGTGGAGCAGCAAAGTAGTAGCGGAGGTGATGAGCTCATGCTCAAGTCCTCCTCTTTTATTGCAGCTTTTGAAGAAGAGGTTAAGGCTATCTTTTCAAGACATGATGAACCAGATGGCCATGAAATTGAAGAGTCAGGTTCTGAAGCTTCTGCTGATGACAGTGGATTGAAATGCGATAGAGTTTTAAATACCATGTTTGAACATGATGTTGCTGTCGATGGCAATGAAATGTCTTTCAGCAAATCAAGCTCAGTCCCAGCTGTGGCACCTTTACACATTAACTTTGAGAACAGTGCAGACCTTAGCCTGCCAGTCGGAATGCCCGGCCATTGTGCTGCAGAGCAAAGAGAGGTAATGAGCGCAAAGAAAAGTGAAGAGGCCTATTTTAAGTGTTCTGATGTCATCACAGGAGATCAGATGCGCCTTCCTGATGGGGATGGAGACTTGCTTTGCAATGCTGTTGAACAGTTGGAAACGACGGAGGAGGAAGAAGAAGACTCTGTGCTTTCAAGCAGGAAGAATAGCTTGCAGATTTACACGTCTGGGGATCCAAAAGTAGTAGCCAACAAAAAATTCACAATTAAGGTGTCTGCCTTGGACCCAAAAGTTGAAACATCTGATTCTCAACAGCCTCAGGCAACTCCTCTGAGAGATGCTTCTTTCTCTTCTGCCTCTCAAACAGATGTTGAGGATGCATTTGAACAGCCTAAAGGTCAAGAGGAATTTGGCACCGACGGTCCTTCACAGTTGGGTACCAGCGGGGAAATGGCTGTAGTTGCCAGCTGCAGCTTCCAAGAAGGCCACAACAAGCGTACGACCTTCACTTCCAACATTCAGCTTGGCTCTGGGACTGCTGGCATTGCTTTTGATATAGCTGTACAGAAGACCAGTACCCCACAGGGATCCGATTCCAATGCTGAATTAGGAAATTCTTCCGATTTTTCTTGGAATTTTCAGAGAAATCTGCAATGCAAGAGAGGTATCCCTCCTATGGGCAGCAGTAGTGTGTCTCAAAGTGAAAGTAGTGGGCACCTTGCATTTCGGCGGGCTCATGAGGTGACACTCAGTGATTTGTATGCGTGTGCAGTCTCCTTTTTGGATGTCTTTTTCTGGATTTGCATAGGCATTGGCCTCCTTATCTATGAGTGCTGCATGAATAGTTCACGACATGAGTAAACTCCACTTGCATGGCTTGGTCCTTTAGGAGATGTTTGGATTTATCATTTAGTTGGTTAGCTACTTGCTGAGGCTTGGTTAGACACGCCTTCAATCTTGACTTAACATGCCATTTTGATGTTCAGAGGTGTCTCATAAAAACTATCCTTTCCTCTCTTTGGAAGATTTCATTTCGTTAGCAAGCTACCTCTCTGTGTAGTGGGATGTTATTAGTTTTTTTCAAACGAGACGAGTTCTTTGCTTACACTCTCTCAGTGATTTCTGATTAGGAAACTTTAGAGCTGATGTGTTTTGTGTGTTGGTTACAACAGTTTGCAAGTGTCTAATGGGGAAAGTTTGGCTTTATCATCTCATTGTAGTGACAATGTCAACATGACTATTTTTTTGTCCTGAAAAAGGTGACTGTCAATGGAATTGGTAATTTGGTTCAAGTGCATGTTTGTGTGTTTGGAAAAGGGTAGGGGAGTTCTCTTGTGCAGTTTGACGGGTGGTGATTAAAATTGTTTTCAATTGGCATTGTTTGTCATGTCCTTATCTTTAGTCGTCGTCGTCTTCAGCTAGATGTTGTGCTTTCTTAGTTTTTATCCAGGATTGAAAAATAAAGAGCATTTTAACCCATTTGTGAGTTTTTGTTTTGTTCTATTATTAACCCTATCCGTACGCTCTAGGGTCATTTTGTTCCCTTGGGGTTGTATTCTTCACATTTTTGAATACTTCTAGTACGGATATCTTGGGTGGGTGGTTGGCAGGCGCTCTGGTGTGGTTTGCTTCTTCTTTCCTATCGTCTTTATCTCCCCTCCTTTTTTGTGTTTGTTACTCTTTTGTAACACCTCTAATCTTCAGCACTTATATGACCTTATTGTGTTGCAAGTGCCATAAAACTCTTATTAAAACTAAAAAAAGATCTCTTTGAAACTTTCAGTATTACTCAAAAAATAATTTTGACTGACTGCTATGCAAAGCGTATGGATCGGATCAATGAGTAAATTTCCCCTTTGGAAAGTGGTGGCACAGAGTTCCCCACGTCATATGGATATGATAGTAAAACACCACGTACGGACAGGGTTAATGAATATTTTGTCCCATTTTCATATTAAAAGTGAAGGACTTGAAATGATTCCTACAGATGAATCAGAGTACTTTAACCCTATCCCTGACAACTGGGTGTAATCCACCCGTTCGCGTCAGAACTTTGAGTGTTCGCGTATCGTTCATCATAAAGAGACCAACTCCATCTATTCTTCAAGAATGCCATTTCGCTTTGTCCTGTGTATTCAAACTACCCATTTGGTCACTTTGGTGTAGTAGGTAGCCATTTAGATTTTTTTTATACAGTCCCTGACAACTGGGTGTATCACACCCGTATACTTTTTATAGTAAAAATGCGTTTATAAAGAGACCCGAGGAAATGCTTTTTCAACTTCAATGAAATTTTAAATTCAGAACAACCTATAAAAGCAGAAACAAGTAAGATTGAATACATATAGGCCTATACTGTGCTAACAATATGGGCACTTTTCTGTACATGTAGTAGAAAAATAAACAGATCCCTTTATTCCTAACATTTGCACAACATGAAAGAGCATTGTCTATATTACTAGTGCTTATCTCACTAACAGTAACAGCTGAACATCTGTGTGGAAACTTTAGATCTAAGTGGAAGCAGAAGAACAATTGTGGCAGAATAGTACAGTATGCTCCTGGCAAATGTGACAGTGACAACTGGTGCATGTTGCTTTTGTTTTTCTGTCTCTCTTTGAGGGGCACAGTGCACATCTTTTCTGTGTCTTTGCAGGAGCAGCTCTTTCATGCATCCTTGCTTGCTTTGGTGGTTTTGAACCTGATGCTGTGTGGGTTGAAGAGACTTCAGCACGACAGAAATGTTCTCTTTCACACCTTTCTGCAATGTAGGCACAGTTGCGCGCCGAACAATATGGGCATGTGCCAGACATCGGCCAACATCCGCGTTGAAACTTTGCCTGCATTCCTCATATGAGAGAGTGTCTGCAGGATACTTCACCCTAAAGACCACCCTGGAAGCAATTGATGACAAATCCATCAATTGAAAAACACAACCAAAGGCCATCGCTTTGACAAGGCGTGAGCCATTTGGTCCATAGCGTCGACCCCTCCTTTTGTTTTGTTATAGTCCAGCACTATGTCAGGCTTTTTGGTCTCAGGGCAAATTTCTGGCTTCCTGTGCATTGTGCTAAGAAGCACGACATTCTTGGGCGCTAACTCTGGAACGATACCAGATTGGTCTCTTACCTGAACAGGAGCTTTGAGTCACCTAGAGGAAGAGCTTTCTTTGGCGGGAAATCCACAGGAAGGAAGGTTTTGTTTCTTTTTACGGTCCCTATCATTGTGAGTTTCTTCTTTGCTAAAGACTCCGCTAGCTTGGTGTTCGTGAAAGAGTTGTCGCAGGTTATGTTACAACCACTGCCTTGGAAGTCCTTTGTCAATGTTTCCACTGTTTTTGCTGCAATGCCCACACATCTCTCAGCTGGTCTGGTAACGGTTGCTTCCTTCCTAAGGTATGGTTAACCTCTCAGCGAATAATTTGTCGATGGGTCACAAGCCAAAAAAAAACTTCAGTCCATACGTGTACGGCTTGGGCGGCATGTACTGGATAAAGCTACAGCGGCCTCTGAATGGAACTAACTGTTCGTCTACTGTAACATTTTGTCCTGGCACATAGTGTTTTCCCAAATTCGTCTGGAAAGAGTCCCAAAGATTGCTTTTATTATTATGCCAGTTTGGCTAAAATGTAACGCCTAACACAAATAAAGTAGAAGTTAGAAGACTATATATTATTAATATATTATAATATATATATAATGATATTATTAATATATATATAATGATATTATTAATATATATATAATAAATTATTATCTAATAATATACACTCACATATATAGTATATATAATACATTATATATATATATATATATATATATGGGTTTCTCTAGGTTTAAGTGTATGGGTGTGATCCACCCATGTTGTCAGGAATCAGATAAAATCATTTGTTTTACTATATGTGGACTATACGGGTGTGATCCACCCATGTTGTCAGGAATGTGATGGGAAATATGTTGTCAGGGATAGGGTTGAGCACTGTCCTCGGGGTGAAGACTGACCCCCTCCTCATGAACTGCTTTCACCAGCAGATGTCTTGAGAGTATATACGCCTGGGCGGCTTACATGCAGCGATCGGACTAGGAACGATTCCAACAAGTTCAATCCCGCATCCCGAGGGACAATCTAAGGTGTCGGGGGGGGGAAGGACCATAGTATAGGGACGGGGAGACAAAATTCACATCCCTAGGTGCCATGCGATCTTGATTTTTTTTTTTTACTCAACCTCCACCATCCTTGTGCAAACAGTTTTCACGAATTTTCTTGCTTCACTAAAAAAAATGTATGTGCTGTTTTCACTGTTGAGCACACTAGACCCATCAAGTGTGTACTATGGCATCATTAGTAAAAATGTATTGTTTTGCATGATTAGTTACCATGCATTGATAAATGAATAATACATTACATTTCATTACATATAATAATATATTCTTACTATTTTGTGCGATCAACATAGATTAGCTTTTGTGGCAACTTGTATCACTATCAGACGAACAAAATCATGCACTTGATAAAGCTATTATCAAATAATATAAAACACAGACAATCTTGGCGGTAATGATGGTGCGAGGAATGATGACGATGACGAAGGTGTCCATCATAAATAGCTTGTTTTTTTTAAAATAAAAAACTAAATAGGATACAAAATTCTTAATCAATAAAACTTCTGGCTCTCACCTTCATATATTCTCTGACAAGAGAGCCATATATAGTGCGACATGTTTCTGAAATTATTTGACACGATGCTGATGATGTAATGCAAGTTGAGAATTGCAAATCATGGTAGTGTCATCCTGTACCTAGGAAGCGTGAAGTATACAGTATCGGTCTCTCGCGAGGACTTTTTAATGCTCTCATTACCTTTGACTGCTCTTCAGTCAGTGGACTAACAATTCCTAGGTGAATATAAGTAGCCTGCTCCATTTCCAAATATTTCTTAAAGTCGTCTGGATAAAACCTCAATTCATTCAAGATGTCTGTGTGTAAACAAGTCGTTTAAGTTTAAGTAACCAGTATCCTCTTTCGATTTTCTTGAATCGCAAGTACACATTTAGTCATTTAGCAAGCTCATCATTCAAAACGTCGTTAGACATCACAATCACAACCTCTGATTTGCTTGAAAACAAAAAAAAGTTTTAAGCATACATGTATTGTGCATGTCAAAAAACACATGAGAAAATGGCCGATAAAGATCAAACCAAATATAATAAAATTGCTAATTTTACAGAAAACTCGATTATTGCTATTATTGGATGCATTTTCGAGCTGTTTTTGACAGCCAAATGATAGACCAATGGTATAGGAATGCAAATACAGGAAAATATAAAGGGAGTTTATGGGAGTGCTTATTTAGGCCACATATGGCCTAAATAAGGTAAGGGAGGGGGGTTTAGCTTATTTAGGCCAATAAGGTAAGGGAGGGGGGTTTAGCTTATTTAGGCCACACATGTTCAAACTACCCTTTTCAGGCAACTGAGTTCATTCCACTTTCATAATGGTGCACCTTTCTCATTTAGTATGGTTTTGCCTCAGTGTACAACTTATAAATCATAACCATAATGAATATTGTAAAGAACAAAGCACAAAACGCAAAATTTTGCTCAATGCCAATGGTTCGAATGAGGGCCGGATTTTTCCTTCATGGAGGGGCAAAAGCTAGGCTACCATTTTGGCACACTTTGGTCAAGTGAAAAGGTCAAATCCTCCGAATGGATTTCGGGTTAAATTTGGGGTATAAAAAGTGTGTATACTACGTGGCTGAGTCAAAGTTACACTATCTTTGCCTGAGTGACACTCTCTTGTACTGTCTCGTAGTAGTACATGTAGGCTAGTAGGCCTAGTAGTAGTAGTAGCAAAGATCGTGTAGAGAATATTTGGTAGTAGATTCTATCTAGTAGGCAGTTTAGTGAACGTGCTCGCGGCAGGGCGAATCGGCCTCGATAAGCCCTGTAGACTTTTGTGATCGGCCACGAAGCCTCGTGTTTTGATGGGTCTAGATCTAGATCTAGATCTAAACAACTCAGTGCTATTCGCACTGCTACATCCGACAGGCCTAGATCTACATCTTTTTAAAAGGAAAAGAAAGATCATCAAAATGGTTGAATTCGCATGAAAATCGATTAGGTAGAACTAAAACTATTAAAACTTGCTTCTGAAAACAAGGCAATTTTTATACGAAGGCCATTTTTAAAACTCGATGAAATAAAAACTACTGACTGTGTACTGTGTTATTCTGTATAAAAATAAATTATGAAACTTCAGGACGTAGATCTATTATTATTTACCAGCATCTTTTGACGCCTGAGCTGTAGAGGTTGAAGTTTTCACAACATTAATAGATCTAGTAATAGGGTTAGGTAATACGGCTTTCCGTAAAAAATGCATAGATCTACAAAAGCCGACCACCGAATCGACCGGGCGCCTCGGTCTCCCCTGCACTCTGATTCAATATTATATTTAAACAAAAATGCTAATCAATG